GACCGACCTCGGTCTCTCTGCATCTTCTCTCATATCCACCATATAAGCCATAAACCCACTACAACCCTGTTGTAGAATCTACCTCGTCTTTGAGTCTGAAAAAAATGCTGACCCAGAATGGGTACCCTCGCTATAAACCATAAGAACTCCCCTAATAGGGTCTCGTATGGTCACCAGCTGTCGCTCGCAGTCGATAAACTCTCCAAATCTACTCAACCAGTCCATGCCCACAATAACACAGACATCTCCCATAGCAATTAGGACCAAATTAATCGCAAACTCAACGCCGGAGATCTCGAGTCCACATCCTCGAATCACATCCGTGGCATACACTTCTCTCTCGTCATCTATGGAAACTCGCAAAGGCCGACGCAACGCCTCTCGACGAATAGTGATGTGCTGACTAAAGGCTAGCAAAACAAAAGACCGACTCACGCCCGAGTCAAATAACGCCAAAGCAGGCACATAACACATAAGGAAAGTACCTACTCATAACATAATATAGCACCATATCTAAAACATCATAGTAAATACGTGAAAGAATACATACCAGCCACGACATCGGGTGCCGCACGGACCTCCTCCGCGGTCAACTGGAAAGCTCTCCCTTGTGCCTTCAGTGCCTCGACCTTCACCGGATGGATCTCGGTAGCTCGAACAGCAGTAGGGACAGCTCCATGCAGCTGTGGATACTCGGCCTTCCGGTGTCCGGTCTGGTTGCAGTGAAAACAGACTGCAAATCCCTTGGGGAAATCCTTGGCCATATGCCCCTCCTTGCCACACTTGTAGCAAGACCCTGCTCTACACACTCCCTCATGATCCTTGCCACACTTGCCACAAGTACGGACCTTCTGGTTCCTTGATCTCGAACCGGAAGGCTTGGCCCGCTTGGCTGCCGGTTGGGACTGAGCCGGTCGCCGATCCCTCCCCTGAGACTCCACCTCCTCCCTAACCTGAGTCTCCAGCTCTATCTCCCTCTTCCGAGCATTTTCCTGAAGCTCGGCAAATTTTCGGTATGATGAGTTCGCTACAAACTCTCGTATGTCCCTCCTTAGAATACTCAAATATCGACTCATACGTGCTTGCTCGGTAGACACGTGCTCAGGGAAAAACATCGCCCTCTCATGGAACATCCTGGTGATCATAGTAACAGACTCTGTACCCTGCTTGAGGCTCAGAAACTCCTAGGTCAAACGTTCCCTCTCCACCGGGGGAACGTACTCATCACGAAACATAGCAGTGAACCTCTCCCAGGTCACCACGGTAAGCTCGGCAGACGAAAAGTGCACCGTCACAAACTTCCACCAGTCCTTCGCTCCCAAGCGAAGCTAGTTCAGCGCGAACCGGACCCTCAGATGCTCTGAACATGAAAACGTATAGAAGCATCCCTTAATATCAGAAACCCATCTCATCGTAGCAATCGGATCCTATGTCCCATCAAACTCTAGTGGCTTCGTGTTGCTGAACTCCCGGAACAACAACGAATCGCCACCCTGAGGTCTGGTAGCAGCAACAGTTGCGGTAGTTACAGCGGCTGCAGCCTCACTAACCGCCGCGTATCTCTCATCAAAGGTCTCAATTAGAGTGGTCTTGATAGACCCAAACATCTCTGGAATCTCTGCACGGATAACCGCATCCACCTCCTCATGGATCATCTGGCGAAGCTCCTCATCGCTCACCCTGCTGGTCCATGGTCTGTGGCGTGTCCCAACCATGATGTCTCTGAAAAACAACTTAAAATATATCAGATACTCACTCGAACATACTTGCACTCGATAACTTGACCCTACTTGCTCCCTGGTACGCCAAGGATTCTTACTTGGGCTGCGCACTGCTCCGGTGTCTTCAGTAGTAGAGGCCCAATACTACCATCCACACCGCATCAATATTCACCCCAAGTCCTCTTCCTAGGACCCCAAGTCCTAAGTACTCTACTCTCACAATGCATAGTCTACTCTCTAGCAGATCTCTCATAGCTCCTCGTTGCTATCTACTCACTCTCAAGCATCTACTAGCAAAACCCCTAGGCTAAGGCATCACAAATCAGGCCACTCTAGTCCTAATAAGAATACCTAGCCTATTCTAGCATGCATTGTTGGGTTTTGAGCATTCTAACACTCCTAAGTGTACATGCAACCCTAAATACCTTGGATCTATGTTTTCTCTATTATACATGCAAATATGAACTTTCCATGGTATTCATCCTAACTAGCATAATAACATTGATTCAAATGAATATATCAAGTTAAAATTACATACCTCTTTGATGTAGATTGTCTTCATGAAGCTTGAGTGCCTAGTGCCCCAAGTGTGACACCTCAAATGGTTCACACAACACCAAATACACTTGGAATAGATTGAGAGAACATACACACTTCATGAAATCGGCTAGCCCTTCATTCTCACACTTAGTCCCGATTTCTTGAGCCATGGGATTCTTTTATATGGTGGCTATTAGGGTTACACCATGTAACTCATAACTTTACCCATTCCTTATGCTCTATGGATTTTAACCTCCATGGAGTATCCATGGGTCACCCCATGGACTTAGTCCAACATAAGGAATCTTGGATCACAATCCCGCATATATAAGAATGAATTATTTGCACAATCAACCCATATATTCAATTAGTCTCCTTTTGATCACTTAATTAATTCCAAATTAATTCTTGATCAATACTAATTAAATAACCTTATTAATATATTAGAACTTATAAGATATTAACAAACCTTAAGTGTTATTTCTCTCATTTTAGTCTATCTAACTGCATGATGCCATGCAACCCAAATGGACCATGCCGACTCGGGTCAAGTCTCACCAGTTATAGTTATGGACTTAAACATTAATACAACAGTTTCCCACTTGGATAAGTCTAAAACTATTATTGCGTATGACTTCAAGAACCGACTGGCAATCGTAGCTCTCAAAAGCTTATGTCGAACTCTGACCTTGTCGATGAACTCTAACCTTTGTTAATGACTTTTCCATTAGATAAGGGATCATATATTCCTCCATTCTAGATATCATATGGAATGAGACATGGATTATAATCATTCTCTCTGTCCATCTGTTGTTTCCTGATTTTCGATTTATGACGACTGACTAATTGAACAAATCAAATCAATCCTGGCCCGACTAAGCACTTACATTTGTCATCACCAAATCATCGAGGGGCCCACAGATATCGTTTTTATCCCGAAGGTAAAAGGAATGGATAAACTTCGACTCATATGGCTTGTTCTACTACTTGATGAATCATACACAAAGGCACGTTTTATAACATCGAGTTACAAATGCTTTTCCGTGCAATCAATGTATAACCAACTCATAGTAACAACTCATATCTCTAGGTTTGAAGAATATAAGATATTATCGTCTCATGATCACTTGTGATAAAATCCATGAAGTGATTCCAATGAGCGCGTGTTGAATCCAATACTCAGAACTTATGAGCACTCATGAGTGTTGTAGCCCTTTGTCTAACATCTTAGACCTCTACAAGCCAACCCATGACAGTCTTAATTCATATCTACTTCCAACATATGACCGACCACTACTAGAAAAACAGCCTTTTACGACGCTCATTGCGCGTCGTAAAAGGCTCAGACGACGCGCAAATGCGCGTCAAGGAAGGCCATGTCATAAAGAGAGACGACGCTCATTTACGATGCGCAATTACGACGCGCGTTTAAGACACACAATGCGTATCAAGGAAGGCCCTGTCATAAAGGAAGACGACACGCATTCGCGTGTCGTAACCTTACGATACACGTGTTAATGACACACAATGCGTATCAAGAAAGGCCCTGTCAAGAAAGGCCATGTCATAAATGAAGACGACACACATTTTTGCGTATCGTAATTTTAATTTTTTTTAAAAAAAATTATTTATAGATTTACTGATTTTCAAATTAAATTTGCATTTCATGTCTCACAATACAAAAAATACAATATATTGCACAAAATTTAATGTCGTACAAATAATCATTCCAATAATAGACAAATGTAAGATTTCAACATTTTTTTATATAATTAACTAAATTATTCGCCAAATTTCCTAAACTACCAACATACTTTTCTATGAAGAGCATTAGCACTATTCTTTTCCATCAAAAACTTCAAACCTGCATAATTAAATTAATGTTTAATCAGCTACAGGTCAATAAGTTAGATTTAAACACAAGATTTTTATAATAGTAAGATTTTACTTACCACTGTTGTTAATGACCTAATAGTAAGATTTTACTAATTCAATTGAGAAACTTTGAGCACTTCGTTCCTTGTAACAAGTTACACATGTAAATGAAATGATACTAGGGTAAATCTGAAAACCCTAATTTCGTGGCCTTTGAATCTCATTAAGGAAAATAAGTTATGGATCATGTCATTTACCGATTGAAAGAAACTGTAATTGACTACATGGACAAAAAGTTCCTGATTCATCGAACACTTGGTGTTCATACCCACTCAGCTCCACATAAACCAAACATAAAAGAAAGGGGGCAAATCATTATATCATATACATCAACATATTTATAATAATCACTTACTTGTCTAGAAAGCATAGATATATATTTTGATTATCACACAACTCTTCAAGCATCCCAATGTTCCAATCATCGTTAGATCCAGCCAACCCAACTTACCTGTAAATCATAAGAAATGAGATAAAAAGAGAAAAAAAAACATGAAACTAAATAACTAAAATTGTAAAAACGGATGATATTATTACCTCAACTAAATGATGATCTTGAAATTGTTCTGAATCAAAAACTTTTTTGTAAATCATAAGAAATGAGATAAAAGAAAAACTACCCTTCAGTTTTTGAATTTTTGTGGTGTATTATAATAAGTGCACATATTTCCATGTGTGCTTTGCTAGGGATGCTGTTGATTGCTCCAGGATGCAACTCCAGTATACCTTCAACAAAAACAACATTTTAAGGATAAATGGTAATGAAAGTGATTTTGAAAAAAAAAAAAAGATTACCAACAGTGTCTATGGATCCAGATTCAAGAACATGTTTTCCACAGCTAGTGTCCGCTTAGCAGTAGCCAAACCTGCATCATTTCTATTCCAAAATTATGTATAAGACTCAAATATGTCATACAAAAAAGATAATAATAATAAACAAAATTTATAAAGAATTGTTTATTTTATTACCTTTGTGGCATTAAAGCAGCTCTAGCATGACCTCCATTTCCTCCAAAATCAACTCTAATGCTTGCAGGAGCTGCAATAGCAGTCACAATACCAATAGAAATTCCTTCATTTTCCAAAATTAGTCCTTGTTTTATATGAAGTTCCTACAATTTTGCCCCTGATATTGAAAACACTTCCTGCAAGTTTGCTTCCTTTCATGTCACCTAGTGTAAAATACCCTTCATCTTACAACACAAAATAAAAACAAAACCATACTATTAGTATTAAAATACTCATGCAAACAAAATTAACAGTAGTTTATTCATTGCCTTTGGTCTAATCATGTCGACTATTTGACACAAAATATCTTCAAAAAGAATAGGCTCTTGGGCCATGCATTATAACAACTTTCACTAACTTTATTTATTTAATCAGTTTAAAATGATCATTTAGTAAATACCACAAGGACCAAAATTTAAAGAGAAAACTTATTGGGACCAAAAATGTAATTTACTTGAGGTTCCCATCTCTAGTTAAGTCAATGAAAGAAATCTTACGTTTCACAGAACGAGGCATGAGAGGTTCTCGTGGCGGCAGTTGTTCAAAAGTGGCGGTTAGTGATGTTATAGCGGTGGATCGCACGACAGCATTAGGGGAATTGGTGGCACCGGATTTTGGATACGATTTTCTCACAAGGGGTGGAGGAGTTGACAAGTTTCTTGCATTTGCATTCTCAAATGTGGAAGCAAGAGCATTAAAGGCTGGAGATCTGCCTCTCACACGAACTCGATCTAGGCTGACACGCTTCTAGAACATTGTGGTTTTTCTGTTGCTACAGACCTTCCTCCATGTGATGACACAGGTGCTCGCCTTTTTGGTTTCTAATCATACAATTATAAACATAAAACATCTTCTTATTAATCACACCAAATCACCATTTTACCCTTCTATTAATATTCATCATTTTTAACAAACAGTCTTGAAGAAATAAATACGGAATTTGTGTCTTACATTATTCAAGGTTGGACGACCTCCATTTTTTATTATAGATAGTTTCCTTTGGAACGAGTTTCAGTGCATCTGCAATCATATTAACAGATACAATTCGTTAAAAATTTACATATTTATAGCTTTAACAAATTAAACTCGTTAAAAACTATATATAATAAAACAACTTACTAAAGATTTGGTTGAATCCCATGTGAAGAAACGTGTGAAATACTATGGCTCACTTCCTTTAGTTATGATATAAATTGGAGTTTGAAGAGATAATTTATCGAGAAGGAAATCATGTTTCAGGAACTTATGTTGAATTCCCATCTCAATGAGTGAACGAACTACATATATAATTTTTTGGAAAAATGTAAGAAACATTTATTTTTATTACCTCACCAATAACCAATGCTTTTGTTTTCAGTTTCTAATCAACTTGTTGATTCACTAACCTCTGTTTTAATACCAAGTGCTAAAGAAGCAGCAACAGCTACCATTGAAATGATCAATGTTGTATCACGACAAGCATCAAATAGAAACCTTTATCAAATGCATATCACGAAAAGATTTAGATTAAAGCATGTTCAGATAATGAATGTCATCAATTTTGGTTTAACCACATGGCGATTGATGATTATAATTCCCCAACGATTGTTTAGTATAATTACCTAACGATTTTCAAGGGCAAAAAGGTAATTAAACCTTTAAAGCTTCACCTGCAATGTATTTTCATACTAGTTAGCAAAGATGGTCCATTCCATCAAACAAGAATCCTATTGTAGGATCATTTGCATTCTACAGATGTTGACAAGTCAGACTTGTTAATTAATGCATAAGAAATATAGGAAAAATAATAAATCATGATTCATGAAGTATACATACACACAAACATGAGAATAATAATTATCAAGCTTTCCGATTCCTCTTATTCTAAAAACATTTTGCAATGACCACTATCTAATTATAGTTGAGATCCATTAATGGGATCCCAAATTGAGAATCAACTAAAACATACATAAAGCATTAGGAATGTAGAACATTTTCTTCTTCTTGTCCTATTTCAACATTCTATGATTAATCATGTCTCTTAATTACCTTTAGCCATCGGATCATCTCTCTTATAGCAGCAAGATTGTTGATTATCATATAAGAAGAAACAATCATACACATTGTCACTAAGGCATATCATCAAACAATTGGTGTGCAATAAAGATCTACTTAAATTAGGATTCCTAAGTTTTTTGATTACGTCTAACTATTAATGAGTAGTAACATGTGGTTTGAGCAGGCAGGAACAAAGATTTTAGCACGCCAATTGATCAGGCTTAGACAAAAAATAGCCAACCTACAAAGTAGTTGGGCTCAAATGAGGGGCATAGCAACACATACACAGGTAAAATGAAGGACATCACAAGATTTTCCAATGCTTTTTGGTGTCAAAAGTCCCATTGTCTTGGCACATCAAAAACAACACCAAGATTGCCCATGCGATATACATCCATGAGGACCCTGATAAATGGTAAAAGATCATCAAAAAGAATGCCAGATGGAAGTACCTCTATGAATTTTTGGAAGACTAACTGTTCTGATATATGGGAAAAACTTCATATTTTCAAAAATGCCCCTCCTCAAGCATCTCCTCCATCAGATGGAATAAGTTCCACTGTTGAAATTCCTTCTTTTCCCCCGACATCGCCTCCACAGTATATTCCTCAAGGTAAAACATCAACCAAAAAATAATAAGAAGAGGAAGGGTAAGGACGAAGCTGTGATCGAATTAAAGAGAGAAGAGGGGGCATATCGGTTAGAAGAAGGCTTATCTGATTGTAAAAACAATATATTCTCTATTTCTATTAATACCAAACAAAACCACGTAACCTTAGACCTCAGTTAGTTGCTGAATCACCAAGCACAACCCTAAATCTTCGGGGAGTCACAGTCGCCGACGAGGTGAGGTGAGACGACGTCGCCAACCTATTGTAGAGAGGACTCCATTGCATTTTGAATGGTTCTTGAAAAAAGCCCTAGAATCATCCCTTCAATTTTGTGTGTGTGTTTGAGAGAGATAAAGATAGAGATAGCGATAAGTTTGTGCGTGTGAGAGTCAGCATATGTTGAATAGGGTTTTTGAAAAAAGAAGTAGAACCGTCCCTTCATGGTGGGCCTTTCAAACTTTTCGGAATTTCATTTCCCCCAAAACAACTGACCCCGCATTTCATTAAAAAAATATAAAGCAACATACATAAAGGACGCGCATTTTAAGTTATGTACCCTCCTTGTTTTTATTTATTTTCAATGTGGCACTTATTTTAGCACGCGCGAAAATGCGTGCCCTAAATCCTTCTAATTTTCCAAGAGTAGACATTATTTTTAGGGCACACACTATTGCGTATCATATAACAACGCGTGTCATGGTTCGCGCATCGTAAAAGGCTGTTTTTCTAGTAGTGGACTGTGAATGGTTTGAATAACTTACTCATCCAGAACAATGACCTAGTTTATTCTGGAAGTCAAAACATGCAAAATGAAACACAAGAATAATTGAATCGAATATGGTATCAAAACCTATGAACATAAATAAAACACCTTTTATTTATCACCATATGATTACACATTATTCATTGTATACTGTTTCAGCTATCAACTTTATTCTTGAACTTAAAACAATAGTTATCCCATGCTCCAAGCATGTACACTATGTTTTCTAAACACAATTCATGCCATACACCAAGTATGCATACTATGTTTGTCTATGATCTTTACTTTGTGAAATAGATCAATTGAACATAACTCCAATGATCCTTTTTTCATAGTCCCAAATCCTTACTGCAAATGCAAGAATTCCAAATTCATGCCATTTACTAAAATCTGTTAGATTCTAAACTTATATGCATTGATCCTATTGTAATGATTATGCACAAAGTCAGAAAGACTTGACAACAACCATTACAGAGCATTCCAAAGGAGATCAGCTCCTTGGAAGCATCCTTCATGCATTAAGTTTCCTAATCTTACATAGATTGAATAATTTCTAACTTTGAAACATTTCCATATTCCATTTTAACTATCACATCTGAACAAGAGTTTCCTCCTTACAGATTATGTCAATATGGTCGTTCCATAATTATCACTATGCTTCCAACTGTCCTTGATCAACCAATCATTGGTAAACTGTAGATTGTCCTCGACAATTGTTTAATCCTTTTAGTCATATCCAATTCTAGACCTTTTCCATTCTTAATACCGTAGGCATTTGGAAAATTTTAGAAAGGATGAATATAGCACATGTAATCAATCATATATTCGAAGCATATGGGACACGATTCATGATGTCTCACATAAAGACTAAACGAGTCTTTTGCTATAACATTTCCATTTCTATTTGCCAAGTTCTCATAACTCAGATTATGAAAAGGGATGTCGTAATCATAATCGAATTTTAGAACACAAATAATAGACCCATATACATAATTTCCTTATGTGAAGCCATTCCAACATGAAATTCATATATATATATATATATATATATATATATATATATATATATATATATATATACATACATATATATATATATATATATATATATATATATATATATATATATATATATATATATATATATATATATATCCTTGACTAAATACGATTAAAACCTCAATCTAAGCTTTTAGATTTGAGATGAAGTATAATTTCCTCTCCTTTAATTATAGCAAAACAACTCTTTCCCAATTGAAACCTTTTTTATTTTTATAATTAACATTGCTAACTTTCAATACTTATCATAATTATCATGCTCCCACTAACATGATGATTATTAGCATAACACTTATGCTCCCACTAGCTTTGACATGTACTCAGAAATCAGTTGGACTTCTAGAAATCAATACTTTATTGACTTTCTTACCAAATTTCAGATTTCTGATACTAGATTGCTTTGATAAAACTTTATCATAATCATACACCTTATCTTAGATAGCTCACAGGTGTGTCTAAACAATTTTAAGAACTATGAAAAGGGATGTCGTAATCATAGTCTTGATTGTTTAGACCTTTGTCACTTCTCACAAGTCCATGTTAGTGTGCCGGTAAACCACACACGCTCCACTAACGACTTTGAGAATGCAAATATCACAATTGCTATCTAGCTAAAATCTACTTAGTGAAAGTGTTTCCTCACCATCATTTTCATGAATAGGAGAGAAACCTTATGATAATTAAATTTAATAGCGTATGTATTCTTATCCATGTGAATTGTTAAAACCATAGTCACAAGACAAGGATAATGACAAATTCAAACTCATATAGACTGAACTCAATCTTAATTTCTTGCCATCTAGCAGCTCAAGGGCCTGCCATTGCTTCCAAGTTGTTGTGCAACCAATTGAGAACTCTAAGAACTCATATGCAAAGCCAACTTTAATTTCAATAGGCACAAAATATGTCAACACGATAGGTTATAAACCTCAAGTCGTGTGCTAGTGAAAAACTTCAGGTTTTATTCTTGATTAGTTCTTGGGACTTTCAAGACCTTAAAGACTCCAACTGTCCTCTTGACATATAAGACTCTCTTGTCACATATTCAAGAGATAATGTGGATTATAATCAAGACAAACACTACACACAATTGGCCTTAGTTGGTCTTTGTTTTATCTAAAACATCACAAATTACCAATTTCAAATGTACAAGAGTAGAAAAATTTTACTCTTACATTTGAAAAGTGTTTTAAACCTTCTTTAAGAAATGTCACTCAAGTTACAATCTTAAAGTATAACTCTAAGACATGTATTGGAACGAAGTATGACTCATATTCTTGATTTAACCATTCCAATAATTCAAGATTCCTCTTCTTAATCATAAGAATGAACTAAGATGACCTTAGAATATCAATTGTGATATGGTATCTTAATCATTAAGATGATCATAAACATGATACTAAAGTAGTCTCCAATCTTTTCAGATTTGAGAAACTTTTATCTTTCTGCCTAAGTTGATTCTTCTTATTCGCTCTGTCATACATTGGAACCTTTTCCAATGTCTCAGAATTACACTTAAGCTTGTAAGTATAACCATATTTACTGAGCTTTAGTAAATTATGACGAATAATCTTATCGATCTTTTGTGGTGGACTCGACCAGTGCACAAGAATGTGTACTCGATCCCTTAGTCCTTCACTTGACTCACATATACATGTGAACAAGGAACTAGTCTTAGTTTTCCAAAGATGAAAAATTCTCATTCATCATGCTATACAACTTGCATGATTCCAAGTTTCGGTCCAATTGAAACTTGGGTGATGAGGATCTTTCCTTATTTGGTAAATTTAGACATTACCACAAATGAATGAATTAATTTCATACTTCTACACTTGCTATTAATGGAATCATATAAGCAACAATTTTTTTTTCCTCAAATGCCATTGTAAGGATATTTTAAAATAAATAAAATCATCATTTTTCCTTTTATTTTAAAACTTTGCGGAAAAACTATCCTTAC